TTCTGATGTTTAGTACTAATGGTGATGGTTAGGAAATGTGTCGCGAATCGCAGCTTAAGAATAATTAGGTGATGTGATGTGACTCATGTATTTGGATGTTTTTACAGGTGATTGATTTTAGTAGTGTCTTGAGGACAAGTGTTGGTATTGTTTAAATGTTTTGCAGCTAAAGCGTGATTATGGGATTCCGTTGAAGAATTGTAGGAATGATTGACCTTAGTTTTGAGGTTTCAGGCATGAGATAGTCGCATTGTGTGTTTTGACTGGGTAGGAATTGAATCGAGTAATATTATGAGTTGTTTACCTGGTGTGGATGTTATGAGGAAATTAGGGATCTTTAATGCTGGTTGATGATTTTGACGTTTGGTGTCGTGTTACTTTTAGCTTATAATGATTGTGTGATTGAGGAATGATTGTCGTGTTGCTTTTAGCATGTTGATATGTGATTGTATAGTTGTTGAGGTTATATAGAACAATAGGTGGATAGTGAGTGGATCTTTTGCTTGTTTTGTGGACTGTGTGGGGATGTATTTGAGGTTTAAACCTGAGGACAGGAACGACATCTGTGTTGAGACCGAATCAAGGATGAGAATGGCCTGGCCAACCATTTCTCCTGAATTATTCCCTCTTTAGCACGATGTCGGGTCAAAGGTCCATTTTTGTTTTGGGTTGTCAGGAACAGTGAAAGTACGGTATCACGGGTTGTGTCGGTGTGACAGTGTGGATTCGGATGGTTTGTTTTGGGTGACGGTGTGTGTTAGGTAGTACCAAGTGTCTGGTAAAGGGTTTGCGGTTTGATCATTAATTATCGAAGATTTTGTTTTGAGGATTTGGGTTCTAAGTATAGGATAGTACGTTTTATTGCTCTGGTGACTCATGATTATATAGTCATTGAGAGATTCATTATTTAGTCATCTTGAGGATGATAAGTTTAGTGATTGCCACTTGGTATGGTAGGTAGTCATTGTACAGGTATATAATAGTGTAGTTAAGTGTTAGGTAGTAAGTGTTTGGTCTGACAGGGATGTGTAGATTAGAGTTGAGTTTGGTTATGAGATGGACGGGGTTCCTTGTCTGGGGTTTTGTATGTCCTTTTAGGGAGGAGTTGAGACAAGATATCGTCATGTTCGGTGGTCTTGTGACAGTTCTCCTTGGGCTTTGGAACCTTGCGTAGCAGTGTAGAGTGGGCCGATGTCTGTTTTGAGTCGAGTATAAAATCCAGCTAGTTTGTGTTATGATGTCGTGAGTAATGAGTACCATCAAAGGGTGGTGAGCATTGTATTTTTGCGGCAGTGGTATGTGATGCCTGGTGACGCCCGGTGTCAAAGGTAATAATGTTGGTGAGTCCATGGTTTTGGGGTTTTGTGAGGTGTTTTCGGGAATGTGTGTGGTCGTGGGCCTCCTTTTTTAAGGAGGGTAGATTTCGAGCACGAAATCTTTTAAGGAGGGTAGGTTGTAATATTTATGATATATATATATATATATATATAACAAATAATGTTAAATGTTATTATAATTAGGCCGTGGGACCCACATGCATTTTTAGTTATTAAAATGACCAAATGTCATTTTACAGACCACATTCTCTCTATATGCTGCTACGGTTTCTCTCTCCCTCTCTGGTTTCTATTTTCTTTTTTCTTTTCTTGCACTAAAGTCTTGATTTCTCCTTCATCATTGGGAATTTTTGGGTGCCGTTTGCGGCAAATCGAAGAGCTTGGTGAGATCTTCAAGTGGGTGTAAGCAATTTCAGTTATGGTGCACTCTAGGGATTTCAAATTTTTGGCTCACTTTGGGGATTTTGGGGCTTTTCTACAATTAAGAGGTAGGGGTGCTCTAATCCGCAATTTCTTAGATTTCTTATGAATTTTTCCCTTAATTTGACTCTAAGCATGCTTAATTTTAATTATGTTGATTATGTTTGTTGTGGTTGTTGGTATTTAAGGTGATAAAGGCATATTATATGTTAATTGAGCTTATGAATATGATTAAATTCTTGTGGTGAAGAAGCATGTTTAGTGTTGATGTATTCTATGCTCTATGATTTAAAATTGCTATGAAAAATGATGTTGTAGTTATGAAAATAAATGATTTTATTTTATGCCTCATGTAATTAAGTTGTTGGATTTGCGAATTGAAATATGTAAAATGCCATGATTTAGAAATATGAGAATGTAATATTGTGTGAAAATTCATATTTTAAACATGCCTAAATGATATGGATGATATGTACGAAATTTTTATATTGTCATAGCATTGAAGGAATTGCATAATTCATACATGGCCATTGGGATAGTAAAGGGAAAAGTTGTTTTAAAAATAAATGAAATTGTTTTTAGAAAAAGTTTTTGAAAAGTGTTTGTGAAAATCAGACGCCTATGAGGCGCCTAGTGGTCCGTGGTGTTAGTGTGGTCTAGAAAGGAGTATGGTTGAGCTAACTAGGCTGGATGCGACGCCTTGGAGATGCCTTGTGGTCGTGGATAGTTAGTTAACCCTCTATTCGTGACGCCTTGGAGGTGCCTTGGGTCGGATTATACTAACGGTTTGGAAGTTGAAATGGTATTGTTTCGGAAATGGGGAGCGACATTGCATGGCATGACATTGCATTGGCATACATTGTATATTTGGTGGTTAGACGACTTGCGTATGTATTTGTTGATTATTATTGTTACTTTGCTTATTTTTCCCAAGATATGATCTCGTTCTCTCGTATCCTATTCATTGTATGGATTCATGGGGTCTTAAGAAAGGTGTCTTAGACCCTTCCTACTGAGCATTATGCTCACCCCAACATTTTAACATTTATCAGGTCACGGGAAAGATGTGGTTGATGATGTTCCTCCACAGGTTTTGAGGGGTTAGTGAACTATCTTGGCATATTTTGTAGTGATGATCTCATTATTATTATTATTATTATTATTATTATTATTATTATTTTATTTTTTTATTTTTATAAACCCTGGGATGACACATATACTATGTATTGACATAGGAAAGGACAATAGTGTCCTTAGTTGACTTCGGGTTCGGGTAAGAACCCGGTTAGCGATTCGAACCCTTGGGTTCGGGTCGTTACATTAATATCCATTGTTAAATTGATATATTTCTTTGGTGAAATTTATTATTATATATATATGTTTATGTTTTAATATAATATCTTTTGTAATAATATTATGTGTAGAAGATATTCAAGGTAAAAATGTAATATATACAACATTCAGATTTCAGCTTTTACATTTAACAAACAATCTTAATGAATTCAGTGTTTGAAATTAATACTATATCAAACAAGTTTACAAGTTAATATATTCAGCACTTAAAATTTCAGCGCTTAAAATTCAGTACTTGAAATTTCCAGTGCTTAATTTTCTGAATTCATTAAGATTGTTTGTTAAATGCAAAAGCTAAAATCTGAATGTTGTATATATTACATTTTTGCCTTGAATATCTTCTACAGATAATATTATTACAAAAGATATTATATTAAAACATAAACATATAGTATATAAAATAATAAATTTCACCAAAGAAATATATCAATTTAACAATAGATAGTAATATTTAAACTGATTATAAAAATTTCAAAATCAACATATAATTTATGAAAATGAATTATTTATGAGAAGGAGATTAGAATTCACGCACAAATCATTCGATTTTTATTTATATAGTAGATTTGCATCATAACAAAGGTGTGATGTTGTTGATTATAAACTTGAGTGAACCATGCAGTATATATATATATATATATATATATATATATATATATATATATATATATATATATATATATTGTTGAATATTATTTATATTTACATTATTTGAGAATGAAAAGTACAATGAAACATTTGAGAAATAGGAGTAAACTAAAAGTAAAAATCAATCGAATGGGAATAAAAATGCAAAGTGGCAATAAAAAGTCCGTCAATATGTTTAATTTCAAAAGTAATATTAATATAATATTTAAGAGCAACCTTCACTATTACTTCGGCATTATCATTGTCTTCTCTTGGCAGCCGGATGAATTTGATCTGATCAAAATTTTTTGCTTCCTGCATAACAACAGAACAATAGGTTTCCATTGTTTCATCTTTGGTACCATATTTCCCAGTCACATGCCTAACGACTAGCTGCAAATCATTAAAAGCAATTAAACTCTTGACCTTCATTTCTTTGGCTAGTCTCAGACCTGCTAATAATGCTTCATACTCTGCCTCATTATTAGTTGCTCTGAACTCAAGTCTGATCGCTTGACACAGTGTTGTGCCTTCTGGGGTCTGCAGTTTGATTCGCACTCCTGCCCCCATTTGGTTAGAAGACCCATCAATGAAGAGCTTCCACGATTGATCCCCGAGGTCTTCTTCCACATCTTCTATATTGCATTCGAGTAGGAAATGAGCCACTACTTGGCCTTTTATGGCTGTTCGGGGTTCATATGTTATATCAAACGAGCTTAATTCAATGGCCTACTTTGTCATTCTTCCCGACAAATTTCTCTTTACATTTACCAATGATATGATCACCCGCTCAGCCTTTGAGTACCTTCTCTCCAGATCAGCCATTGTTTTGCTAACGTAGAACATGGGAATTGCTTGATTGGAATCCTTTGCGATAAGCGTTACTTAAAATTTTGACCTATTTTAAGTTACTGCGTAATATTTTAAGCAGTAAAATAAATGTTATCAAATATGCTAATTTTAAAAATTCATCAAACAGCCCAACTGAACAGTACTGAAAAAAAAACACAAACTAGAATAATAATAATAATAATAATAATGAAAAAAAAAAAAACCGTACGGTATTGAGTATTACGTGTAAGTTTTAGGTCATTTCACTCAACCATATGGTATATAATAATGAATCATGAACATTATAACCAAAAAGATGTTTCCTTTCCCTCGCCTTTTCTATTTTCAGCCTAAATAATTACTGTTGTAAACCAACTGCACATGAATGCCACGGAACAAACACACACAGCCAAATCTGGAAAACAATGCGTATGCACCACACAACTAAACAATGATCAATTGAATTATAAAAGCTAAACCTGCTGTATGCTTACACACAGTTACTGATACAAAACATGGCACCAATTCCAACCACTACAAGCAGTGTTATATCATGAAGCCACCACAGAACGACTAGTATTCCGTCCCAAGCCAAGACCCAAGCCTATAGGAACAGAATCGGATCTGCCATGGTTGTTATTATGGCTACAGTGGGAAGAATGAACATGACCTTGATGGGTTTTTGTGGTGGTGTTATTCACATTGATCACCACATGGCTATTTCCATTGGTTTGATGAGAATGGCCAACTCCATTTTGCAGGGTTGAATTCCTAGCCATATGCATCATTCCAATCCCCTCCTCAGATTGAGCTGCTGATTCTTCATTATGCTCCACGTCTTCATTGTACCCATTGATCAAAAAATCTGAACAGTTCTTCTTCAACCCATGATCATATGGATTACGGAACCGACCACCTGCTCCTCTAAGGTAGCTATACCGCATTGCATTCGCCATTTCATTTGTTGTAATGTTGCGGGAAATCTAGAGCAATAAAAATTCCATCATTACAAATACAAGTAAAATACATCTACAATATCTTTCAGGGAAAAAGCTACACAGTTGACTCATCCATCGGATATAACTCGGCAATTAGGCTTCGGCTAATTATCGGCACCTATTTGATCTAATAAAGTCATTTTGTTTCACACACATTACGAGAAAAGATTCAGACATGCATCTTCTGAGGATTAATTGGCAAACTTACAAAACATATTTTCAACCAGGACTTTAGACATACCTGAGAAGCTTGTACAACAGTTAAGACAGCCACACCAGAAAAGAGGAAGAAATCTGCAACCAGAAATGATATGGCACCGAGATGCTGACTACCAGCATGGCTCATCCATGCTCCAAAAGAAGATGGAGCCACTGGATCAGTCAAAACTCCTGAAAAGAAAATTAATAAAAAAACAAGCGGGTGAAGAAACCCAAAAGATATATATAAAGAATATCCACTAGTGACTTAAAAGTGGCTCAAAATATTACCATTGAAACAAAAAAACACTTACGTGTAATGGTGACTGCACCAGTTATCAGCATTGCAAAAACTTCTAGAATAAGAAACAAGAAGAAGTCCCATTTGTTTTTCTGCGATTCACATTGACAAAGTATTAATATTCTGATAAGAGCAATGTAAGAAGAAAGAAAACAACATTTATCTTCAATGAAAGCAAAAACAAAGCAAAATTCATATTGAGAAGAGGACAGGGGTAAAAATTTGATACATGATAGTGAAACCATATCAACTTATTTTCATATATATGGCATAAAGCCTTAAACATAGAAACAAGTTAACAGAATCATCAGAAGACAAAATTCTCAATTGACTCTCCACACAAGCATATATTATTGTATATTTGCACATGTATACATGCAAGTGAATGCTTATTCATCGATATAATTATGAACACAAGTATCCAAGCCAAATGGGAAGTCATGAAAAGATGTTTAATCAGTCAAGATGGCCTTATATTCCTCCTATATCCTATATTATGGTTTTCATATATATATATTTCCTCAAGACATGAAGATTCAGGTAAAAATGGAAAAATAAAGATGCAACTCATAAATGTCAAATCACCTTGCCAACACAGTTAGATACCCAAGGGCAATGATGGTCAAATTGTTCAACACAACGATCACAGGTGGAACAGTGCTTTGCACGAAGAGGCCTGACAATCTAACAAAAAAGAAATAAATGAAATCACATCAGAAAGTACTCAAACAAACAATCATTGAGTGAATAGCACGTGAAGGTAAAAACAACCACAAGTAAACAGCACCTTGCATGTTGCACAGAGCTGAGACCAATTTCCAGCTAGCAGAGCAGGATTATTTATCTCAATCCTCAATAAAGGTTCCTAGCGACAGACAAGAGTGATCACATTAAACACACTAGCAACCCATTTAATAAAACCACTAAGCTTGCAAAATAAAATATACAGCAAAAAAATAGCCAGAAATTTCAAAAGGAAAAGAAGTCCGAATAATGAAATTGATGTGAGCCGAAGCATGGATAAAGGTAGGATATGAGAGATTTAAACGAGAAAAAAGAAATGGCTTACGTCATCTTTCATATTTTGTGGATCATGCACATTCATTTTGATGTAACCTGGATCTTTGCTGAAAACAAAAAGACCAACAAAGATTTAGACAACAATAAATGCAAGAACTCATATCCTAATGAATTTGACTATGAAATATAAACATTCGCAGAAATTGTATGTAAAAGCAGATTCTTCTATTATCGATATCAAGCTGAGTTTCACTTGAATTTTACCTATGCGCTATGCTACATGGACCCTGGTACATAGTCAGGTGTCATCATGTCGGTTGGTATAGGTGTCGGTTGGTATACGTACATAGTACATATTACCAAAAAGTTATACTATTTTGATAATTTTCATTTATTTTACATTAGAAATGGTCTTTAGATGTAATATAAAGCATGCAACGGACACTTCACTTTTTTTAAGGAATAGTGTAACTGAAAAAATACCAAGAAATTTTTATGTGCAATTATAATAAACTTGAATAATTGATGTGTTCTTTTGGTGTATGCCCAATCAGACTTGTTGGCCACATATCTTATCAATACACCTAATTGTGTCCAACACGGACACTTTACTCAGTTAGAAGAGTTGGAAGGCAGAAGCAAAGCAACATTTCAACAGTTCTATCATCCATGCCACCACCACCAGCAAGCATGTACCAACCAAATCCCCCAACACATTCAAAAAATACTTTTAACAATAATAATGCTGTTGTTTGCTTATAACCTGTTAGACATTGAAGTATCACACTCAAGGACCACACAGCTGAAGTTCAGATAATCATCCCCAAGTAATACTTTGAAAGACGTCATTGGAATTAACTGTCACAAATTGAAGCCCTTCTGGGAGACCAACAAGGAGTCAAGTAGTCAACTAAAATAATTTGATTGTGTAGGCAGAAGATCATTGACAGCAAGATTGAAGATGAGTACTACATTAGTGATGGTAGTTTAGAATATCAAGGCAAGAATGCATAAAAAGTGTGCCTTGATAAAATTTATGAGGAAAATTTGACCAATTCAGAAAAGAGGGCAAACAGATGACAGTAGTGTAGCAACATAATAAAGTGAAGGCAACTTCACTGAAAAAACAACTTCTGCCTAGTAAATCCCCGTATTATTATAATGCCCAAACACATCATTTACATGTTAGATAACAAATAAAAACTTCATAAATTTGGAACAGGAAGAAAAATCATTTGGAAAATAGTCAAAGAGAATACAATGGAGAGACCAGAAATTGAATGGCAAGAGTACGTGAAAACAAAGAACCCTAACATATCTCAGTAGGGAAATTAAAGAAGTCTCAAGTAAAATCTTCTCAGGAAGGTACCAAAAATCTAAGCGTTCTATCAATAGAACCATCTCTGAGAACTAAAAGGAATGGAATGGATGTAGAGGTCAACTATAGTGACAGAACAAAAAGGTCAACTTGGTTCTCTAATGAAGCGAGCCATATCTTTTTTTTTTTCGGAAGGTTAAAAGGAAATCATGTACAATGTCATTGAGAATTAAGGTACATATTTGGCAGGAAATTCTATATTTTTGGCAGACTTCCCCTAACAGAGAAATAAGTAGTCTAAAAGATTGACGGGGAGATGAAATTATATTAACAATATACGCCATTTTTAACTCATGTTCCCAACCTACAAAAATAAGTATTCAAAAACTCCTTCCTTTAATCCTTATAGACAAAAGTCTATAGAGCGCACCTGCTACACCTATAAAACAGAACTAGACCAGCAGTTGCAAGGAAAACACCCAACCATGCAAGAAGGCCAAAACCAGCAGTTAGCTTTGGCAGATTCGAAGCTGCAGCAAAATAAAGAGAAAATTATTAAAGATAGGTCACCAGTAGCAGAAGATGGAAAGCACAATACCTTATATAAAAATAATAATAATAATAAATAAAAGGCCAATTAAAGATTACACACAAAGATCAGGAAGAATACCCATGATAACCGAATGAATATAGGTCACAAGTAGCAGAAAGATTATGCACCAAAGCATAGGTGCAAGACCTAATTTCGACAGTTGACCAAGACGGCTATTCCCATCACAACGTTTGTCAAGCAACCTTCTAGCATTTCCCTGCAGACTCAGATTTTTCAATAAAATAAAATAAAGAAAGCATGATTCAATTCCATAAAATTCTATGTCCATGTTATTCTCTACAAAAATCTGAAACCGTAATCCAATGTCTTCCAAACAAATGCAGTGGATGTTAAACATAAAAAGACCTGCCTATAGGATTGCATTTAAAAGTTCATTATGGATGACCCATTTATCTATGCCCTTTAAGCAACCGTAACTAAAGACAACACACTGATCTTTATTACAAGCGGCTTGGAAATTTCCAAGATGCAAATACGAAAAAAATTCCACATATTCCTGTATAGTTATTTCAAGCTCTTGACCTTTCAAAAGAAAATACAGTATCTGAAGATAAGTTGATAACCAGGAGACATGACTATAACTTTCAACAATGATTACAATTCACAAAATTCAGTAAGAAATAGATATAAAAAAAAGTTTCTTGAACTTTAAAATATATGTAAAAATTAATTTCAGTAAATTAAACTTGGTACATGCATAAAACCATAATATGGATGAGAAACAATTCACCTGTATAATGAGTTCAAACAAGATTTCAGAAGTGCAAGAACTTAAAAGAAGTTCGAAAATGCAGAAGGATATACAAAGGCATTAGAACTTAGAAGATAACAGTCCCAAACAACTAGTTCTTTTAACTAGTGGGCAACATAGAGGTTTGAATATGTTACGCTCTAGGTATTGTTGAAGTGAAAAACTTTGCTTAAGAAGGTTTGCTGTTGAACAAACTCAACTCCCATAAGAAGGTGCCCTTACCTTCTATTTTGATGAAAAGAAGGTACCACATTTCACAGAAAAGTAACAAACTACTTAGATAATTGTAAGTGCTCTAGTTAACGAATACCTACAAGGAAAAAAGCCACTTGTCTGTGATTTTTATCAGAAGCAAGCTGTGCCGGTGTAAGGCCAGTATTATCAGTCACCATCAGGTCCTCCTTCTTCCCAGCCTGCACCAGGACTGTGCATGCTTCTAAGTTCCCCCTAATAGCAGCCCAATGGAGAGGAGTACAACCTAAAATTATGAAGAGAGAAAAAAAAGTGAGAGAGACACACTTCCTGTCAGGTTCTACAGAACTGTACCTTGCTCTTTATAGCTGCAAAAATGTAAAATTTTCAGAACAAAAGATAATTTTAAGACTAAACTGAGAATTTACCCTCTTTGTCCTGACGTCCCCTATATGCATCCAAAAAAAGGAGAAGCCGTATACAATCAGCAAAACCTTTATATGCAGCCCTACAGTTCACCATAAATAATCCATCATTGGCTCAATTACTGAATAAGACGTGTGAGAAGATTTATTTGTTCAAAATTTATTAATAGTGATTGCAGTGAGATATCTACATCTGCAATGTTAGCATATGCACATATTAAATTTTATTGACTTGAGAGGGAAAAAAGAAGAATGAATCATCACTGATATTGTTCACAACAAAGAGATGTGGCAGTGAATTGCACATGCAGGTATCACCAATAGGAAATTTACCATCCATAAATACAGAATCCATATTACATGCAATAAATAATACAGTGGCATATTTTCATCCACATGGAGCACATCTAAATCATTTATTATTGTTTATTTATTTATTTGTATTACCTCGGACATGTTAGGCTAGTTAAGAAACGGATAGAATTGAATATGTTTCATGTAGAATGTGAAAATTTTGTCCGAAAGAAGATGATGTGGTACATGAATGTTTAAAATCTTTTTTGTAATACAAAAGGAACATGTTAAATCTTTACAAAGCTTAGCTTTGAAAGAAAATCAACTATCAAATCAAAAAGCATTAGCTGTGTTCCTTCCATTCTATGTTCATTACACAGGATCTCAAGACAAGAACTTACAGATCTGTGGACGTTTAACCAAATGGATGAAGATCTTCATATGCAAATATCTTAATTTCCATCAATTCCAAGGTATTTAAAATAGAATTCAGAACCCTCACAAAAACACGAAGCTTGATAAAATCTTGTCTTTAGCTACAACACTCCATTATTCATTTGAATATCAAATCATTTGAGTATCAAATTTTAACCAATGAAATGCCCAGTTCTGAATAACAGAGTTTCAGAAATCATAGAGTTGGAACAACCAGATTTCATCAATGGCGACTCATGATTCTAATGCCTATGGCAGGGAACAAAGTTAAAATTTTCCAAACAAAAACAGTAAACATGACTCATGAGAAGTATTGGAATTATACGCTCATTAGCATGGGTATTTTCGATGTCTAATTTTACAAAAAAGTGTGAACAACAAATACAACTAATAAGAAAGCTACAAAGTAATCTACATATACATCCATAAAATTGAACAACTGACTGAAGACAAAGTAATACTTCTTCATTATCAATAAAGATCAATAAGGTATAGTCAAATTTCCAAGTACCAATGTAAAGGGCTTCTTCCATCATTATCAGGAACATCAGGATCAGCATTCCATTTTGTAACAATGTGATAAAGGAAAGCTGTCTGACCATATTGTGCTGCAACATGTGTTGTCTGCAATTAAGCCAAATTTGACATTACAATCAATAGGCAAGTCTTTCACGAAGAAGAAAACTGGAAGGTTGGTTGTTTTGTGTGTGGGGAGAGAGAGACTTAAAAAAATAAAATGGAAGAAAAACTATGTATTAAGGGATAAGTTAAGGTATCTGGCCTATAGGAGTATTCAGCTATAAGCCAATATGGCGTATCAAAATTGTACAACTGGTTCTGAGAACCTATGTTGGTATATTATAAAACCAATTAATTGCCCAATATTGAGTCCAACATTTGTAAGAACAAATTTCCATTTTAAAAATGATATTAGGCATGTTAGCTTTTTTCACATAATGTTTTCACCTGAAATACCTATTAAAAGTACTCTAATCTGTTTCTTAAAAAACTAAGCAATGGCTCAAGACAAAGAATGGGTACAAAAAAAAAAAACAAACCTGATATCCATACATGTCCCCGGCATTCACCCGAGCACCCTCTTGGAGTAAAAGCTCTGCAACCTGTATTGCGCCCCGAACCGCACTCCAGTGTAATGCAGTTTGGCCAGTATGATCCGCAGCATTGACATCTCCCCCATGCTGGCAAATGTTATTACCCAATAATTGTCAATAACTTCCATATCAAAAATAATAATAATTAAAAGAAACGAAAAAACTATATTCCAATTCAATCAATTCTTTTCAACTTACAGCTAAAAAAAATTAGAAAGATAAATTCTCATCTATTATCTGAAGTATACACAACTCATTATATGCACGTATCCACAACACAAGATAAAGCTTTAGAAATAGATAGACAAATGTCATGGCTGTGACTAAAGTATTGCAAGAAACGGACTTGATTATCCTAAAAAAGTAAATTGAACAAATCAAATGCACAAATTTGTGGCTTTAACTGAAATCTCAGAGGTCTAATTACCCTAATAACTATAGTTAAAAATACAAAAGCACATATATGTAACTAAATAAAAGTCTATATAAATACCCACATATGTGTACATGATGTACCCATGTACACGCAAGCACATACATAGAAAGAGAGAGAGGGATAGAGATTTGATTCAACCTCAATGATATATTGAGCAGCAGCAGTGCGATTGTTCAGAGCAGCCCACTGCAACGCATAGTATCCAAGGCCATCGGGCTCGGACACGGAGCAACCCTCGCACTCCACCAATCTCTGCAACTTCTCCAAATCTCCATACGCCGCCGCCGTGTACACGTCGTTCCGCAGACTATCATCCTCCGCTCCTCCACTCCCGCTCGCCTCTCCTTCGCCTCCACCAGCCGCCGCCGATTCTCGATCTCTAGATTCGACCTCGTCAACGACCTCGATCTCCGACGCCATTAAATTAATACTGATTTAATTAACATTCAAAGGCATTGAAATACGCCAAATCGATACAAATAAAACGATTAACAATATAATACCAGTGAATTATGTACAATAATTCTATTATATATTTGTATGTATGTATTGAAATGGGAGGTTCTAGGGTTTTTCTTGAAAGCAGGTGTAGAGGAAGAAAGTATAGAGAGAGAGAGAAAAAGAGAGCCCGCGTTGACTGGGGGTTCGGTTGGCGTTGGGCTCTCCGAAGATACAATAGAAACCAGAAGCCTATGATGAATTATCCGAGAGCTATTTTGAAGATTTCCTGTAATTTTATTTACATGGTGTTACTTCAAAATCATGATTATTGTCAATTTCGTGTTCATTAATTTAGTTGACTAATTAAAGAGAATTAATTATATCAGAAAGGAATTTTTTTTCATAGGACAATAAGCACAAAGTTGAAGGAATGATGTGTTTAGGCAATATATTTTTTTTCACTTTTTAATATTTTACTTTTCGTTACTCCATTATTTTAGACGTGCATACTACATAGGCCCTCCAAATTCTCAACTTTGCATTTTCAATGTGTCCCGGTCATGGAATTGTTGTTGAACCAAGTTTATTTCAACCATAATAATTTTAAACTCTAAGAATTTGAGCAAAATAGAGAATTGAAGAATTTTAATATGTTAGTACACCTGTGAATATGATTACTCTTATTTTAAAATTTCTTTTAAGCCTCAGTTTGTTTTGACGATTTTTCTTTTTCAAGTAAAATATTCTTTTATTTTTACTATTGAGTCAATCGGACGGGACATGTAAAATAATTTGTCGAAAATTTATAGATAAATTATTTTTGTTAAATTTTAATATATATATTTTTGTAAATATTTTAACAATTAAACACCAAAAAAATAAAAATAAAAATATTTTTTAAAAAATATTTTACATCCAAGTAAGCGGAGTCTAAATATGTGTTAACCATTAAAAGTATTTTTAATCACTACAAATTTTAGTTTAGAAGAGCATATTAATAAAATAAATTTTCAAAATTAAAAAGGTTTTCATATTTAGGGTAAGGCTCTGTCAATTTTATTCTCACAATTTCATTAATTTTTTTTTTATTTTTTTATATAAAATGCTATTACTAAATATAATAGCACTCTTTTAAAAAACATATATTATTGTAAAATTAATTTTTCAATAATTTTCTTATCAAACAAATAAAAAACTTGAAAATTATTTTATACAAGAGTAATGCTATAATAAGAGTGGTCTTGTAATTAACTCTCCTTATTTAATTACTAAATTGAAATATTTATTAAATGATTCATTTGATTTTTCACAATTCTAAAAAAATTATCTCAATTTAATAGTTAAATAAGTATATATTTTTGTCTTTCATCATGGAAGTATGGACATTATTTGTCCAATCTGATTATAAGATAATTTGGAACCGAATTATGTCCAATCTGATTATAAGATAATTTGAAACCGAACTGTTTCTAATGGTTTTTTGAAATAAAAATCTGAACCATTAGCATATAGATCATAACCATAAATAACCGATTGAGTTCGGTTTTTATTATTTGGTATTATTCGTGCTAATCCAGATTTCAAGTTATCATACAATTTGTTTGTATATTAGTCCGTACCTTATTATGCCTTATGTATGTATATATTTATGATGCTGTGAAACTTGCATTAGCATGATAATAATAAGAACAAAAAAATAGATTCTATAATAAGTAATTTATGTAAAAATTTTAATGGTTTGATTCGATCATAAAACACTTAGAAAGTTGAAACCGAAATCAAATTGTAATATAATGGTTCTTTAATTTCAGAATTGAACTGCTACTAATTTCAGAATTGAACTGCAATGAATTTTTGGGCACTCTAAAATGAGATGGCACAAAAGATGTTGCTTGACCCGGTCCTAAATCATAGCAGCTTTTAAATTAGACAGGTCAGAACATTTATGGGTGTGATTCAAGTTTCAACTCTAGCCCATCAATGGTCAGCGAGCTTAACACATACAATTTTCATTTCATATTAATTGACCTTTTAAAACATTGCGAGTCAAAGTTGTTATCAGATAGGTAATATATAAATATATAAAAAAATATATAATTTTAAATAATTTAAAAATAAAAAATAATAGTGAATCAAAATTTTTAAATTGGACAAATAATATGAAACGAAGACAGTATTTAACAAGCTGCCTCGTGGTGACACATATTTCAGTGACAATTAAATCAGTATCCAAGTGCCATATCCCCAATTCGTCAATTTTGTTACGTGGCAATCTCCCATTTGTTAAATCGCATCGCGTCCTATCATCATCTGCCACACCAGATGACTACTAGCGAAAGCTAATACCGTCTTCTTTCAAAGAAGACGAGGCCTGAGTCAAGAAACGTTTCTCTGTGTCGCACAGCACGGATCACAATCTTCGTGATTAGGGTTTCGATTTACAAAAAACAACGTAGAAGGGAGAAGATGAGAATGGTGTTTTGGTGGGCCCTACTTTTCTCTATCAACCTGTACAACCGCGACGTCTTAGCCGATCAGATCTTCCCTGCTCATGCAGGTAAATACATAATCCCAATCCTTTGTTTGGTTGCTTAGAAAATAAATAATGAAAAGAGCAGAATATACCAACCCTAAATCGCTAGCATAAATACCTTCACAATGCTTGATATAGAAGCCAAATATTATGTCGAGGGCATATTAGTAGGCGCTCAATCCACACACAACACATCTCTTAATTAAATATTAAAACTAAAATTTTTATATATATCTCTCTCTATATATATATGTATATATATATTGAGATGCTGTCTTTTTTTTTAAAATTTTTTGTTTATTCACTCGATTTTCGCAAATGAACAGTTTCACGATATACGTATCTTAATATATGAATTAACCACTAAGATGGAAGGGGCATGTCAAGGTTTGTAAGGGGATTACCAGTATAAATCAACACTGGACACATCTTGTGTGTTCAATGGCTTGCTTTTACTTTCTTCATCATATCTAGGCAAGCAACCTAAACAAACGCACCAATCACCAATAGAGTGTTTGGTGTGTTGTTCAGGTTCTAATTGTTTGTGTTAGTATCATAGTGGTTCAAATGGTTGAGTTTAATTTGATTCTCAGGTCCTAGGGATTTTTAAGTTTTGTTTAGGTTTTAGTTGCTTGCTCAAAGCTAAAATTTCTTGCACCAAAACCCCAGAAGGAGTATATAGGCAAGCATGGTTAAACAGACCAAACTGTAGGTTACCACTATTGGCATGATGATGCAGCCAAAATGCAGTCTTCCTTGTAAGTTTAACAATCTCAAAACAAGATAGGAGCTTAAGGACAACAATGAGCTAAAATTAGCATATTTATTTTATTTATAGTGCAAGTGGCAAATTCGCCAAATTTTGTGAGTTTATGGTTGTCTTATTTTTTTTCCAATTAGTTCGGTGGCTGTATTAGGAATTTCTTACCCTCGTAGCAGGGGCATTTTGGGATTTTAATTATTGTGCTAGTTGCAATATCTTTGTGACAGCATTAGGGTTTGCATTTAGTTTGTAGAAATTTTGTTGGAAGGAGGAACAGCCTTTATGGCTTTCTCTTAATCTGTTGCTATTGGTTCGTTTGTTTAGGGTGAGTAAATCTAGCTTAATATCTTCAATTTTTTACTGGTATATTTCTCTTGATTCATCAAAAGGACCAACTAGGCACAGAGCATGAGATGCCAGAAGTGCTAGTTATTCACACATGTGCTTAACTGGAGCAATCACGCAATCCTAAATATCTGAACGTCCTAATAGGATGTTCCATTCAAAGTTATGGACACTCAATAATTAGTTTCTTACCGGTTTTTGTGTCTTTGGTGCTACCCGCGTCAGGTTGTCCAATGGTTTTTGTGCCAACCAACTAATTTTTGCCACTAGTAGCTGCTGTCTTACTACTGATTTCAGATTCTTTGATTCTTATTTTCCTTACCTCTTTTAGTAACTGTTGATCATCAGGTGGGACATTTAGCCGCAGCTATCGAGAACCAAAGTACAAGATTGAATTCTATCCAGAAGACTCACCTTTTCAACCAGTAAGTAAGCATGATAACTTTCATGTTATTTGGTTTTAGTCTGTAGATATTGCCATGTTGTTGGAGCATCCTTCCAATATGAACAGATGCACTTCTAATATATATTTATGCTTCACATGTAACTTCTTTCTGGAAGCAGTTCACCTAGTGCTAGATTGGTACATCAGATTTGTAATTTGCATTATTTAGACAATTTTCTTCTTCTTTTTTCCTCCCTAATTCCTTATGCAAACACTCCAATTTTTCTAGTGGTTAATACTTGATCTTCTCAGAATGTCTGTTTTTTTTTTTTTTTTTTCCCTGTTTTGATTTTAGTTGGTAATTAAAAAGTGGTTGTGAAACATGGTGGTAAATATTGACAATATATTAGCGTTAGCATGATTTCATATGTGTGTCACACCCCTTTATCATTACAATTACTCTTGGTATCGTACATCATATAGCAACACCTGTACATTCAGACACAGGAAAGACATTTTTGGTAGAATATGGGTATCATATTTGTTATGGGCTTGCACAATCCGAATGGTAATACCATCTTCTTGATTTGAAAACCAGTCCTATATTATCCCTTTGTTCATTGTTATCCTAGGGCAAACCATCAATAATCTTGATTTGAAATCTATGTTACATGAATTCTTCTAAAACGTGTGAAGTTCCCATGTCAGCCACATGAGTCTTATGTATGGGTATAGGATGTGTCAAACATGTCTCGTTGGACACTACCTATTTTACTATAGAAAACCAAAGACGGATTAACTGTGTTCCTATATCCTTGGGTTTTGGGATTTAAATAAATCCTGTTTTTTGCGCAGCACATAAATCTTTTTTTATTGTACAAGGCCATTATGGTCATTTCGTAAAATTTCTTTCTTTCCTATTTTTATTTCTACTCAACCAAACAAAATGAGAGAAGGTGACTCAAAGGTCCCTTCTTTTTCTTAGGGATATCTTTTCCATCCCTTTTACCTTCCCTTCCAGTTCTCCATCCTTCTTACGAAAATGGACTGTAGGGATAGTGGCTTAGTTTTCTTATCTTGAGAATTGATATTAAGGGTTCTAGAGTTTTGAGTTAAGGTGCTTAATTATATTGTAAACATTATAGGTGCTATATATGCGTATTTTGTGGCCTGTGGCCTAGCGGTACAAGGCTCCTACTTTCCAAAGGGAGGTCAGGGATTCGAACCTCAGTGGAGGCAGTGTGTGTGAGTCCCAACTAGGAAAAAAAAATGAGCATGCAAAACGTGGCAAGTCCTTTATTTAGGCTCTTCCTGTCCATCCTCTTTAAGGCATGGTGGATCTTAGGTGAAATCTGTTACCAAGCTACCTTCTGTTGAATTTTGGTGCACTAATTTAGTAAGAACTCATCTTTGCTTGTTTATAAAGCTTCTTGTCTGGCTATAGAAAGACAAGTACATTTAAAGATATGATATATATTCTTTTCTTTGCAGGACGAAGACCAGGAGTCTGTGGTTATGCCCAAAAAAAATGGAGAGAAGTTTTTATGTTTTTTGCCTAAAATGGAGAAATCTAAGAGCGGCAAGCCTGTCACACAACAGAATACAAGCAGCTTGATTGTGGAAACTGAAAAGCGGATTAAATTGAAGACACCTGATGAGCTACTTGAAGTACTAAAGGATCAATGCTTTGTCAGAGTCAGTATTGATTGCCCTAAGATAGTCTTTATTGTCCTATGTTGAAATATGCTTTCTTAGATTTCAAATATCACTTGAAATATTGGAAACAATGAAATATTAATTGAATCCTTGTTTGCCCAATGGAATTCAAGACACAATTACTTTCATCTATCATGACTTATCAAAGATTTGTTATACTTACATATTCAATCTTTTTATGCAGCAAGAGGGTTGGTGGACCTATGAATTTTGTTATCAGAAGAAGTTGCGTCAACTTCACTTGGAGGATGAGAAGGTAGCCTTTTAGTCTCAAGGTGTTCTCAATTATTAACAGACCATCTTTTAGTAATTGGAATTGGATCACAACAATAATTTTTCTCCCTTCATCATCTATAGTAGTAAAATCATACTTCAACAATAGGGAAGAAACAAGTTGCATGCATGAAATGTATTAGGCTGCAACTCAGGCGGGTTGGAGGTGCAACTCGCAATCTGATATATGAAATCTTCAACCTTTACCCAATCTTATCCCAACCTTCAACTGAGCCCAACCCATCCTTGGATTTTTAAACTTGAGTTGAATTCAGGTTCACAACTCAGGCTGAGATTTCGGGTTAGAAAATCATATTATTATTATTATTATTATTATTATTATTATTATTATTATTTGTTCTTTTCTTTTCTTTTTTTTCTTAGAAAATCATATTAGTTTGAGTTGCCCATATGGAGATTAGTAATAGGTCAATAATGAGTTCCAGATAGTGTGAAAACAATACCAATAGAAATTAAAGTCTCTAACGGGAGATAGAAAGGAGAGTACCTTGAGATGTCCTACAGGTATATTTGTTTGTCTGTGGTTGTGTTTGTGTAAATATGTCGGCATCTGTCTGTGTGTGACACAAGTTTTGAATTATGTTGTAGGTAGTTCAAGTGCATCTAATTCTGTGTGTCTAAAGTAATTTGTGATTATATCATAGGCAGTTCAAGAGTTTGTCTTGGGTGTGTATGATCCTGAGGCTACAGCTGCTTACAACCAGAACCTCTCCGACATCTCAACACTGAAAGATCCTCGCTCAAGAGATGCATCACAAAGGTATGAAATCTTATACATGAGCATAGATAGGATGACTTAGAGAGAGAGAGTTCCAGAAAAAGAAAAGGAAATTTGATTATTGCATCACATGAGTCATGCAGGTATCATGCTCATCAGTATGGAAATGGAACCATCTGTGATCTTACAGGTCAGCCTCGAGAAACTGAGGTAGGAAATATTCTAAATAGCCTTATGGCTTCCTCTTCATTTTACTCTGTATGATTCTACATCTTTGTTGTGCTTTTCTTTTTTTTAGGTGCGATTCGTTTGCTCTGAGCCCAGAGCTATGATTAGCTCTATTACAGAGTTATCTACTTGCAAATACGCTCTCACGGTTCAATGCCCAATGCTCTGCAAGCACCCGTAAGCCTCTCTCTCTCTCTCTCTCTCTCTCTCTCTCTCTCTCTCTCTCTCTCTCTCTCTCTCTCGCTCTCTGTTATAATAGATTGCAGTAAATGTAAGATACAACAGCTGGCTCAAATTTTTGGCATTATTGATCTTGACTGTCCAAACTATCTCTACTGAAATGCTCAATTTTAAAGCTCATCCAGATGCTATCTTTTTCGTTACTCGTCTTAATTGCATTAATAGGTCCCATCTTTAATCGAAAAGAGTGTGTTGTCTAATAATCTAGATGATTGGGTGGTTAACTTGGACAGTGGAGTGACCAATTTCCTTTTTCAGTTTTTTTTTTTTTTTTTTTCAATAATAATAATGTGTCTCTCATGTGAAGATAATGTTTGCAAAATAGGAACATGCTGCTGCAACCCCATTCTTCTGACAGGGTTCGGGTTTACCTTTTTAAGTTATTTGACTTATTTTATCGCTTAACTGGTGTATCTGGTTCTATGGTAAAGTATATCCCACAAATGGTCACACATATAATGACACTATATGTATGCTGCACAAGATTGCTTTTCCTTCACAAGAGATTGTATGCTTACTCGGAAATTGACAATTTTTCTTGGGGGGGAGGGGTGAGGGGGTGGTGGTTGTTTTGCATGAAATGTGTGAAATATTTTAATGCTATGTTCGGTTGCATGGAATTGGAGAAATTTTAGTTTAAACTTTGAAGTAAAGTTTCTTCAATTCCAATGCACCAATTTCATGCAACCGAACAATAATTCTTTGTAGTTGGAATCTTTACATTTAATTAGCAAACTAACAATATGACCACAGATATACCTCTTCAAACATCACTGGTCTTTTCCTTCTTCCATTTGGCACTGAAACAAGCCTTCGTGTGTGTGCATGCGCATGTGTGCGTGGACGTGTATTTTCTATATTCATGAAAAGCCTTGGCATATAGTGTGGTCTGGCAAAGTCAGCAATTGTTTTGGCAAGATTGATTTGTAATGTGAGTGTGACGGTGGCAAGAAAGGGGATAGCATTAGACACAGCAGATGGTCTCATAATCAGTGGAATACAGAAACTGATGAAATAAGATTGAGTGAGAGAATGGAATGAACCATTGTTATGCTTTTCCTATGCTAAATCTGATTTAGTTTAATTATGGACTAATTTAAACATTCTTCTGGCCCACGATAAGAGCTTATTAATTTTGTGGCGCCACAAATATACACACGTATAAGCATGTTAATAGACTGGTTTTGCCTGTATTTTGCATAAAGCTGGAATCTTTACATTTATATCATCAACTTGCACTTGTGTGTGATTGCACGCCATGCTCTTCAAAGAATTAATTAAGGAAATGAGCGTAGGATGCATTTATCCATGGAAACATGTTACTGTTCAACACTGCCTATATACATTGTACACCTGCATGTATCTTTGATGGTTTCCACTACTTACTCTGATTGATTCTCTTCACTTTTAGATTGTTCCAAGAAGAGAGACCCGTTTGGCACACCATTAGCTGTAAGGTTCTCCCAAAAGATTACAAGGAACCGAAAGAGAAGGAAGACAGCTATCAAGATGGGCGGATTACCATGGTCACAGACCATGAATATCCATCTACTTTGGATTCTGAAGAATATGCAACATAAGTGGTGTTCACACACTTTTTGAGTGTATTACTGGAAAGAGGAACTTTGTCAATACCAACTAAACAAACCTGCTGTTAATCTGAGATGTATTTTCGTTAGTTAAACTCATATCAGTTGTGTAGTTTTCTTATCCTTGGTTGGCATCATTTTTCACACAAATTATTCTTCTTTGTGATGTTTCAGATATTACCGAAAAGATTTGTGTATTTAGAGAATGGGATGTCACTGAAGACGTTTATACTATGGTTGGAGGGATGGATGAGGGGAGAGAAGGATTGAGGAGGGATGGATGAAATTTTTTATGTTTGGTTGGAGGAAAGGGAAGATAGGGATGAAGCATATTCTTTCATGTATCTATCTCTGCAATTTTGAGAGGGAAGGGGGAGAGAAAACGAATAACTACCTACAAATATACAATTTATAATTTTAACCCTTTCAACAAAATTTAAATGGATACTTACCTTTTATTATTTTATAAGAGGGTATATTGGTAACAAATATATAAAATCTCTCTTTCCTTGTATCCAACCAAACAAAAAACTGTCACCCTATCCGTTCTTTCTATTATTTTTATTTCATTCAACCAAACAAAAATAGGGGAGACACCTTCTCTTTCCTAACGGATCCCTATTCCCTCCGTTGTATTTGGATTAGCCTACGTCAATTCTATGTTTTCACCCTTGAATTTAAGGTGATGGCCTCAATCAAACCACTCCATAAGATTCATGTTTCTAATGGTCGTGACGAAAGTTTCAAGCTACCTAAGGCAACTCTACTTTGGACCAGCAGATATCACGACCTTTTTAACACACGAAACTGATCACCTCCTCGTTCTGGCCTTCTTTCATGATTGGGCTCAATCATAAATTTGTGTCGTAGACCAAAATAGATGGATCGATCCAACACAATGCGCCAGATAAGTGCTCATAATGACCAAAAGAAACTGAAGTCTAGTACCGCGGCGTCGAAGTTCTATGGGCCGAATGGGCCAGAAAGTGCTCATAATGACCAAATGAAAATGCAGTTTGGTAGCATGGCGTAGAAGGTCTATGGGCCGACAAAAGAATTGTCCACAGGCCTGTTTGGTTATTTAGAGTATTTTAATATAATGATAGCAAACTAAAAAAAATATTAGGATTTAATCCTTGTCTTTTTTTTTTTTTTTTTTAGTAAACAGCATTTAATCCTTGTCATGCCACGTGTCTGTATATCTTCAATAGCTAGCATGGGGGAAATTCTTTTACTGTAACTGGGACAACAAGAAAAGACAAGCATTAGGTGTAACAAAAATTTGGTAAACAACATGGTATGATGTGGATAACTAATGAACCCAAATATATATATGCCAAACAGATCATCCACTAAAATCCTTCTTCAGGATCCCCAGTTTGTCTTTCCTCATGTTCTCGGGTGGGCTTTGGAAGGGGACAACCCATGGCCATGATGGTGACTTTGATGTATGAGAAGTTTCACCTATTTTGACTGAAGGGATGATGAAAATATTCAACATAGACAGACTTGTAAAATATGATTATGTTTCACTTAAAAGTGATTCAATTAGTAACAATGACATGTGAAATCCTTATAATTTGGAGGTATCCCTATTTAAAATAAGGAAATTGCCCACTTTGTATGTTAAGATAAAGTTATGTATATTTGATCCTTTTCAAATTCTGTAATGACGAGAACTTCGTGCACTGATTTTACTTTTTTTTTATTTCTTTTTTTCTTTTTCTTAACAATGACGACATGTGAAACCTTACTTCCTTTGTGCTCTATTTGCAATATACATATACGTGTGCATACATATTAATTGCATGCATCATTTTTATCATCTTCAAATCACCAAACAACCGAGTAAAGTTGATTGAGTCACACATCTAGGTACCTAACATATGACCCACCAACATGGGAGTGGGCATGGGTTTTCCGTTTACAGACAAAATCAATACATTCAACAACTTGCATATTTTCATTTCTTCAAGTTAAAGATTCAAGTTTCACTTTTTGTTTTCCTCAAGGACCGTAAGAAACCAGAACTCTTGGTTTGCTATAAGAAGATTTAATTAGGACAATTTATTACTGCATACAATATTAAATTTGGAATCAATCCCCATCTTATTCAATTTTAGGTCTGAAAACATCAACACCACTCATGCGCATGTTAACTTACCTGGCCTCCAACGTACAAGAGACCAAATTAGTTAATTAGTTAAAAATGAAGAAACATAGAATATGAATTTTTTAAGGATGATTTCTGGATGTAATACAAATTTTGCCTTCTAAACACAAGCTAGTCTCAAAATATATATATAATATTATAGTTGTGATCGCAACTTCAATGAGATTTATACCAAACCCCACGTTAACACTCCAATTATATAAAGATAGCATTGCCCAATAAGTTGGGTATCATATCTTTTCTTTTTCCAAAATCATAGCAGAGGTTTCTTTCAGTAGCATATATTAATTTTAACTTCATCACAAAAAGTCATTATTTCCAAATCATGAGTTATGTTGAATTCAATTCCACATCTTCTTGTCAAACAATAAATGGATTGGTTTGTGTGATTCACTTTAATTTGGTATGTCACCTGATCCTTGTAATCAAGATAAGGGAGTGATTAGTAAAAAAATTGGAAATGGACCCTACTATAAGAAACTAATATCTAAAGAAACATCTGGCAGGCCTAAGCACCATTGTTTCAAATTATACAAAAATCTATTGTCATTGTATTGATTAATAATTATAATCCAAGTTTTGGTTCACATAAAATATTGGTTACTATAGTGTGATACATTTTATACCTACTTCAAGGATGTGTGTCACAATGCTTCATGCCATTCTTTCTCGCATTTTAATTAGATGCTCTTGTAGTTACTGACATGATATCTTGTGTCACAATTATTATTATTATTATTTTGGCCCAATGGGCTTGACTTGCTTGAATATTGGCTCGAATACAATTTGTTCGATTCTCTGCACTAAATAAATATGAATAATGATATTCACACCAGATACTTACATTGTCTAATCGAATAATTTTTAATTGTTATTTATACATAATACAATTAAATGGAGGACTACATTTCCTTATTTATTACATAATTGACCAATTAAAAAAATTAAATCTAATAAATCACTATAATTATTTGGTACAAGAATCATTTTTCAATAAATATTATCCTTATTGTACTTACTATAAATATTTTGAGATATAATACTTACAGGCACTTGAAGACAATTAAATGATTCTTAAACGTAGTTGTAATCTCTTCCACTAGCAATTGGCAATGTTAGATACTGCATACGCCCTATCCTTTTTTTTAATTATTATTTTATATATATATGTGTGTGTGTGTGTTCCCATGTGATCTGCAGAATGTCTCTGCACTTTATGGAACACCTTATACCTTTATTGCTGTCATGTTGATTTTAATTTGGACTATAGTATAACTCGTTTTTCCAAGTCCAACATGACTTTTAAACACATTTGTGAATCCAGGCGTACATGATTTAAGTTTAGGTATTGAAGTCAACAGCTTTTTAATGAATGGAATATTAATTAATGCAACACATTTATGTATCTTAAGGCTTCTCTTCAATCTAAATGGGTCATTCAAGATTTTAATTAGCACTTTAATATAAAGTTATATTTTCTAGGATACAAAAATGCACTATTCTTAAATATTTATCTTTTAAGTACTATCATTAAACAGATCCATTCAGGTTGATAAATTACTTTTTTTAAATAATACGCGAAATGTGAATGACATTCTGTAGTGAAAATATTTATTTCAGGAATATAATTGACCCAACTAATGAATGATAAGTGATTATTTTTTATTAATAACAAAAATTATAAGTGTATATTGCATTATCCACCATCTAGAGTACTGAATAATTTCTCTTTTTTGTTTATATATTTTTCATTTAATTGAGACAACCAATGCTCCTCCCTCCCAGTATCAATCATCAATTTCTAATTTTTTCAATTTGTCAAGCATAAAGCAATTTAACCCACAAAAATTCAGTAAAAATTTAACAACTCTTCAGGATTTAATCTCAATTTGAACACTAAGAACTTATACCTAAATTCAATGAAAACTTAACTACTCCTCATTACCTAACCTCAGTCTACAAGTTAACTTAGCCCTAAATTCAATGAAAACTTAACAACTCTTCATAATATAATCTCAATCTAAACACTAATAAGAACTTAGACCAACTAGTCTACAGGTAGGGTTCCATAAAGAAACTTAGGAGATAAGATTCCGGATCGGGTTAGTTTAATCTCAAAACGGAAATACATCCTTAGCCTTTTCATTGAGATTCAATTGCCCTTCAACCGGATCCAATCTGTCTGAAGTAAACTGTAACCCGGTCGCCCCGTCGGCATCCCATCCGGGTCAGGGTTAATTCAGCTCCACTCGCCCAAAACCCTAACCCAGTGGACCCCACTTGTACTTCCTCACAGCAACTTATCTTTTTCCCTTTTGTTCAGCCAACCTCTTACACTTTCCTGAAGCAAAGCATAAAAAGGCCCACTGCCAACAAACTTTACTTTATTTAATATCTTAAATCTTTCAAATCCAAAGTTTAAATACCAAATCTTGAATTGTTCTCTTACTTCCATAAAAATCACAACATAGGTTTTTTTACATATATCCAATTCAAGTTCATTTATAGTTCATTAAACTCCTTACCATATGTTTTGTTTTATAGCCTTCAATGGAAAATTCTTTATTAACCCAAGTTGTTAAATTTCACAGCCTCGTCCTTCATTTATAGCTACAGATCTTGAACATTTGATATGGGTTTTATGATTTACCAAATGGGTTTTTGTAGGTTGTTGTTTTTCTTTAGTTTGAGCTTGTTTTGTGTGAGTTCACAGACTGAAGTAGGAAATGGTGAAACTGTGGGAGGGATTGTTTCAATAGATGTGCAGAGTGCCATTGGGAGGACAGATGCTGATTTCATATGTGCCACTTTGGATTGGTGGCCTCCTGAGAAGTGTGACTATGGCACTTGTAGCTGGGATCATGCCTCTCTGCTTAATCTGGTATGTTTATGTGAAATGCCTTTCTTAAGTTTGCTTGCTTGTATGTGTGTGTGTGTGAGAGAGAAAATGTACATTAAGATGGTTTTATAATTGCAGTTTGTCTAAAATTACTCATAGTGCAGTATTCATTGCCCTCTTACATTAAGGGACTTTTTTCCTCAAGTTATTTTTCTCTGATTTTGTTATGGTATCCATCTATATATACATGATATACATCTAAACATGTATGTATAATGTATTCATATATATATGTATGCATGGGTGTATGCAGCTCTGCTTTCGGTTTTTACCTTTTGGGTCTTTTGATTGAAAATATATGGTTATTATTCCGGAAAGAAAAAAGGAAAAAAGAAAATGAAGAAATGTTTGCTTGATTTTGTGATGATGGGTTCTCATAAGTCATAGGGTTAATTGTGTAGTTATATATAAAATATTTTAATTGCCCTCTTCATAGAATGTATCTCAAAATGGTTGATTATTTATATTGTAACTTTAGTTAATTAGGATTGCCATTCATACAATACAGTTGATATCAAAACCAATTCTTTGGTTTCGCTTGATTATTTCATTACAGTTTGTAATTTTTGTATGCATCTGATTTTTAAGACTGATCTCGAATGTTGAACATTAATGGTTGCTGAATAAAAAAAAAATTATCTGTTCTGTTTTGAATGCTAAACTTTCATATGAGTGTGTATACCAGGAAAAATGAATTTTAAAGTTGATGAAGTTCTGACCAAATTTGTTGGCCTTCTCTGTTTTGCAGGATCTTAAGAACAATATTTTCTTGAATGCAGTTAAAGGTATGAATTCTTTCAAGGATTTTTGAAGTCACCAATAATCACAAAAATTTGTGTCTAGGGTCCTAAAAGTTTTACTTACTTCCATTAATTATGCAGCCTTTTCACCATTGAAGATTAGATTAGGCGGTACTTTGCAAGATAAGCTAATTTATGAAACTGAAGACCATCGGCAACCTTGCATTCCATTTGCAAGTAATGCCTCTGAGATGTTTGGTTTTAGTGAGGGGTGCCTTCCCTTGTCTAGATGGGATGCACTAAACACCTTCTTCGAGAAATCAGGGTAACAATACTTTTCCTCCTATGTCATGTTTATAACTTGAACTTTAAATTCTGAAAGCTGAGCATCTATCTGATAATCCTGTCGTAATGCAGGGCTGTAATAATTTTTGGGCTGAATGCTCTCACTGGAAGATCTATAAAGTCTGGTTCTGCTTTAGGACCTTGGAACTTCACAAATGCTGAATCTCTCATCCGTTATACTGTCAAAAAGAATTACAGTATCCGTGGTTGGGAGCTAGGTAATTACACCCGTTACTGCTGTGTGCTTTTTTCTTTTTTACACACACAGCCTTGCATGCACATATACTTATGAAATGGATATGAAATTTGAATGATTTATTCAGTAGAAGCCCCTAATATTACACAATATGAAATGACATGAGGTCTTTTATACGTCAACCAATTGTTTGGTATATCTTTCTTATCAGGTAATGAATTGAGTGGGAGTGGAGTTGGAGTAAGAATTGCAGCAGACCGGTATGCCTCTGACACGATTGCTCTACAGAACATTGTTCAGGATATCTATAAGAGTGCCGAGATTAAGCCACAAATCATAGCCCCAGGAGGATTCTTTGATGGTGTTTGGTTCAAAGAATTCATAGATAAAACAACCAAATCATTGGATGTTGTTACTCACCACATATATAACCTTGGCCCAGGTAATTTGATTAACAAAAATTGATTACAACCCTTCTTGAGTAGCATGGCTCTTACATTGGTTTAAAATGAAACATTAATCTTCTCATTATTTATAGGAGTTGATGAGCACCTTATTGACAAGATTCTTGATCCATCCTATCTTGACGGCGAGGCCAATACTTTTAGCAAACTCCAAAGCACCATCAAGAATTCATCAACTTCGGCTACTGCATGGGTTGGTGAGGCAGGAGGGGCTTACAACAGCGGCCACAATCTTGTCACCAATGCATTTGTTTTTAGTTTCTGGTAATTTAGCTATAGCTCATGTTTTATAGCTAAATTTTTTGGATTGCTATGATTGCTTTCTCAGTAATTGGTGTCTTTGACATAACAGGTATCTGGATCAGCTTGGAATGTCATCAGCTTATGATACAAAAACATACTGTAGACAGTCATTGATTGGTGGAAACTATGGTCTTCTCAATACTACTACCTTTGTACCAAATCCAGACTACTACAGGTTATTGAATTTGAAATTTTTGCATTACATAGGCCTGTTTATTACCAATTTTTTTTCATTAAGTCTATAATTTTTCAAAATTTTCGCTATTTCGGCACACATTTCTTTCATATCATAATCAATATATCTACTAGATCTTATCACACATGCATACATTTGGCACTTGATTCAGTTCAATGTACAAAGTTTTAGATTTTGTCTTGTAAATTGTAATGACTTATCGGTTTTTAATAAGCATGTCTTGTAATAACTTCCTTATCAACTTAGCTTCACAATCACTACAAGGAAGGGAGCAGGACCATAACAGTAAACTAGAAATTCTATTTAAAATTAGCGACATAATTAGACTTCCTCAAGAACAAGATTTATGGCCTGTTCTTTTATTAATCTGATTAAACTTGATTGACAACTCATTGCCAGCTTCTCGTTTCTACTGAAATTAAGAACCTGAGCTTGAGAACATTACATTGAGAGAACTTCAAATCTGACTGTTACCAAGTCCTTGTAGATTATAGCTTGATATTCTGGTTTCTTCCTGCAGTGCTCTTCTTTGGCACCGGTTAATGGGAAGAAATGTTTTGTCTACGAGCTTCTCTGGTACAAAGAAAATACGCGCCTATGCTCATTGTGCAAAAGAATCAGTAAGTTAAATACAAACCAAATTTGGCAAAACAATATGATATTTTAATTTAGTGATCTGACCAGATTCATTATATTGCAGCAAGGAATCACACTGTTGTTGATCAACCTAGACAATTCCACCACTGTTGAGGCCAAGATAAGCTTTACTGGTACTTGGAAGTTGCGACACAAACACAGTAAACACAGGTCTCATAGTCATAGAAAAAATGTTATTCGGTTACCTCCTCGTGGTACTAAAAAAAGTGGAATGGCCAGAGAAGAATACCATCTGACAGCAAAGGATGGGAATTTACACAGTCAAACCATGTTGCTTAATGGTAATATATTAGCAGTAAATTCATCTGGGGACATCCCTCCCTTGGAGCCTGTAAATGTAAATTCATGGGAGCCTATAACCGTGGCTCCTTTCTCTATTGTGTTTGCTCACATTCCAAGCGTTGTTCATCCAGCTTGCAGGTAGGTGGGAACAGATGGAACAAAAACTGGTTCCATTTAATTTCTCATCAAATAAGAAATAGAATGAAATGCAATTTTTTTCATTCTTTCTCCTATGGAGAAATAGAGTGCGACTATTTTTCTTTTTCTTTTTTCCCATTATTTGGTAGAAACCACAAATTTTACATACATGTATTTGTGTGTTTTTTGAAGACAATGTGAATGGTTGTGCATCAAATAGGAAAAAGAATACACTATATTTTTATTGCTTGATTTCTATTTTAATACTATAAAATGCCATTCCGTACAAATGTTACTTTCTTGTGGTGAAGAAAGAAACGATAGTCTCAACTACCGTTTTGGAATTTATAACAAAAGTTGTAGACTTGGTAAAAATGGTGGAATGGAGACCCTTGAAAAGGTTGTTCAGAATGGAATTCTAAAAGGCTAATTCAATGTATTGGTGGCCGAGCAAGCAACACCAATTTGGTCAAAGATATACATCACAATTATACATTACTTTTCAAAATTGCAATATTTTAGAATGTAGTAATATATAAAACTAAGCAATTGTGGTTAGAGGATGAAATCAATATGAGTATTAGAAAAGCAATCGAATCTAAGGGAAATTATAGATAAAGGTGCAACTCTGGTGGGCTTGGCTGGGCTGGACTCAAATCCAATGGGGTTTAAAACTCTCAGTTGATTCAGAATGTACCCAAATTGTTGGTCAATGAAATCCAAATTCCTTGTGTCATTAGAAAATATAAAAAAAAATTCCAAATGTAAAGTACCACGTATGTGAAAAATCCATGCATTATCTGTCACACAACATGCATTGTAAACTCAGATTTTGAAAACTGAAATAATAAATAATTAAAAGGGCCTAGTCTTTATTGTAATCGTAAACCAGTCCAATTGTGCTTTCCTCATGTTCTTATCTTCAAAAAAACCACCCAGAAACAATCCAAATTACAGCAACCTTAAACATTACCCATATAAATTGAATTCTCTCTTAACTAGGGTGGCAAATGGACGGGTTGGGCCGAATTTGGATTGGGTTGAAAATGAACGGGTCAATATGGGTCAAGACCCATATTCAACCCGTTCAGAACGGGTTAAAAATAGACGGGTCAACCCGTTATGACCCGTGAACCCATTAATTATTATTTTTTATTATTTTAAATTTTAAATTTTTTTATACTTTCAGAAAAATAATGAAAATTTAGTAATGAATAGATAGGAGTTTTAAATACGAACCATCAACTAATTATTGTATATGTGTATATTAGTATATGAAAGCTATAAATTAAAGTATATATATCAAATGAAATATTTAAAACATCCTTAAAACAGAACAAAATTAGAAAAACACTAAAAGAGAGAGATTATAAGGGTGTTTTGAGGTTTCTATAAAAAAAAATTTAGTGTCAACAAATATTAGAAAATAATTTACACATTTTCAAATAACAAAAATTCATGTGCACGTACTAAACTTCATGAATGTTTTTTTATTTTATTTTATTTTTTTTACATTTTTTTTATATAACATGATTTTTTTTTCATACTCTTAAGAAATATGAATTGCAGATTGAGGAAGATAACTTTTTGACCAATTCTTGTTTGGATTAAAAATATGATTAAAATAAAATTAATTATAGCAGAACAATATAAGTTTTACTAACAGTATATTGCTGTGAACTTGTTAGACAAATTAAAGAAAGTTGTTGGGACATGGTCGGGCAGGTAAAAATTAATTATAAACTTAAGCAATTGTTACGTTCAACTTTCTTTAATAGGTTAAAATAGTTTATTGTCTTTCTTTAATTAAGCAACTCGATTTTCATCCAAGCCATCAAGAAAGCTAATGCATGGGGAGTTATATAAAAAAAAATAGGATAAAAAGCCATCAACATTTTTTATTATTTAATTTTTTGAAATTATTTTTTTCGAAAGGTTTTAAAATTTTTTATTTTTTTAATTATTTAAAATTATTTTTTAATTATTATTTTTTTAAAAGAAATTTTTAGAGAGAAAGGATTGATGAGAGACAAATTTAGATAGAGAGAGGATTGTGAATGAGAGAATTTTAGAGAAAGAAATGAGTTGAGTGCAATAAATAATAGAATAATAGATGTGTGTTGTGTGTTTATTATGTGATAGATGAAATATGGGTTAAATATGGTTATCATATTCAACCCATCTTGACCCTCAAATTAAATATGGTTCATCCATAACCATTAAAAAGCGAGCGAATATGGACGAGTTTTCTGACCCATTTTGCCACTCCTGCTCTTAACTGAATTAATATGTAGCTGCCCTAGACAGAAAAATGGCCACAACTCCAACTCCATGCAAAAGATAGAATCACCGTCCAAGCCTGTCTAAGAACTGGTCATTAATGGCGTTGAACTGCCACAAAGATATGTCTATAAAGGCGGTGATGTCATTGATACATCTTCTCCTCTGCTGGAAGTTCCAGTTATTGATGTTAGTCTACTGACATCTTCATCACCCACCAGGAAAGAAGAGCTTGGGAAACTTCAATCAGCTCTCAGCTCATGTGGTTGCTTTCAGGTCTCTCTTCCATCTACACAGTCTTGATTTTATTTCCTTACATACTAAATTTTTGAATAATTTGAGTAAAAATTAATATTTTTCAAGGAATCAACGAATTGCTTTTGATTTTTCCTTCTTGTAATTAACCATGCATATTAGTGCCTTAATTGGCTTGGCAAAATAATCAGATTTAATTATGGAATTTCAGGCAATAAATCATGGAATAACAAGTTCATTCCTAGATGAAGTGCAAAAAGTTGCCAAACAATTTTTTGCATTTCCTAGAGAAGAGAAACAGAAATACTCCAGAACATTAGATGATTTTGAAGGGTACGGAAAAGATTCAGTTCTTTTGGAGAATCAAATTAATCTGGACTGGTCTGATAGGTTGTTTCTTACTGTATACCCAGTGGATCAGAGAAAGCTGAAACTTTGGCCCGAAAGTCATTTTAGGTATGTTCATCACGCAGGTTGACTTGAAATTAAATCATTATCATCATTCTTCCCTTAGATCCCATATAAGTGAGCTCAGCCTTCCTTGAAATTAAATACTTGTAAGAAAGCCGTCTTAAGACAGCCAGTTAATTAGAACCAGATCCTCCCGTGTACTGAACTGAGAGGGTGGAGATTCCCTCGCGGTGTGGAGTTCCTTTGCATTGGGGTCCACACATTTACGGGGTGATCTCCACTCTTCCTATATATTTTATACGGATCCAAATATGTCAATTTGTGTAATTGATGCAAAATAAAATTGTAAAAAATGGTTTCAGAAGATTCAATTCTAAAAAACTAAAGCAACAATGTTTTTTCTAACTAATTGGGGATTACATGACTACTTTTTTTTCATTCTACTACATCTAAGGGTAAGCCTCAATCAAATCACATTTTACCATATCTAAAGGCTTTCAATGTGTATGGATCATGCTATTCCTATTAGTGAAATTTAAATAAATGCAGGGAAATTTTACATGAACATACCATGAAGTTAAGAAAGATGAACGAACTCATCCTTAAGGCCATGGCGAATTCATTGAACTTGGAGGAGAACTGCTTTCTGAACTAGTATGGAGAACGAGGAACAATGGTTGCAAGATTTAACTTATACCCTCCATGTCCAAGGCGTGATCTTATTCTCGGCGGCAAACCACATTCAGATGGATCAGCAATTACCTTCCTCTTGCAAGACACAGAAGTGGAAGGCCTCCAAGTCCTGAAAGATGATCAGTGGTTTAGAGTTCCCATCATTCCTCATGCTCTTCTCATTAATGTTGGCGATCAAGCAGAGGTAATTAGATTGTCTGTCATATTAAGTTATTAACAGGCCTCCTGGTTTATTCACATTTCAGCTATTCAATATAATTGAAAGCAAATATACCAGATGACTACACCTTTCTGCTAATTCAGTAGCTGACCCTTATAATAGTTGATATATATATACAGGAATAATTATTAAAAATGGAGTTTTAGAGGCTAATTTACAAAGTCATCGAGTTAAAGTCAATATTTTTCTGCGATATATTTTCTGAAAGTTTGAGGTGATATGAAAAACACCACTTGTTTGTCCAAACTACCCATAGTATTAGACCAATTTACAAAGTCATAGAGTCAAAGTCAATATTTTTCAGTCACAAATTTTCCAGAAAGTCTGAGGTGATATGGAAAAGAGTACTTGTTTGTCCAAACTACCCATAGTATTTTTAGGTATCACTTTTGTGCATGTAAGTATTGCACGTGCATTTAAGTACCACTCTTGTGACCAGGGAGATCATTCTTGTGCAGATGTACCACTTTTATACATGTAAGCACCACCCTTATACACATATGTATCACGTTTGTGTATGTGGTACCACTCTTGTGCAGTCCATTTTGGTGACTTGGTTGGCACAAAAATGATAAATACGTTCATAAGAATGGTACTTCTATGCAAAAGAGTGGTACTTGAAATTTTAAATAAATAAATAATATTTTTCTATATCCAGTTCAAACTTTAAGAACTCTATAACTTTGCAAATTAGCCTCCAAAGCTCCATGGTTATCTAATTGCTCAGGCTGTGGTGTGAAAGGACGAGCCACATCAGCGGTCCCACACCCCCTTATCCATTACAATATTTACATGTATAAAACCAAATAGAGATTTGTAAAAGCTGTTTTCTTACTTTTGGAGAATCCTTCACTCTTTTTCTCACACCTAAAAAAAAATAATAATAAAAAATAATAATAATAATAATAATAATAATAATAAAATTAATTGTCTCTTTCTTTAAATATGTAATGAATATTTCTTTAAATATTTTTTTTCTTTAAACTTCTCAACAAAAATAATTGAGTAATAATATAATTTTTTAATAAACATTTTTAAAATAATAAAATAAATAGTGAGCTGTACACCAAAAGGGGGTATGATCGGTAAAATAAAGTGGATGGCCGTGTCAACACACTATCCACTTTGTAGATAGTGTTGGGTATGCACATCAAATTTCCTTAGGGGAGAAATTGTAAATTTACCGGGGAGAGAGTAGATTTTTGGGTACATTGAAAGTTTAGGAGGAGCCTATTTGATCCTTGTGTAGTTTAATTTCCCTATTTTCTAATGAAACTATACTTATCGATATATATATATAAGGAAGCTTCTGGAGGAGAAGTTTTTACAGAAATACA